CAAAGAAGGTGGAATAATGAAGCGACGAAGGAGGAGGGGAGGGAAGGGAGGGAAAACATGGGGCAGGGAAGGGAGCGGATGGGTGGCGAAGGCAGAGAACAAGGACTTCCAGGTGGCTAAACTGCGCTCTACCTGCCGAGCGGAATTACGCCTGTCATCCTTCTTCTACGGGTTTCAACCAGACTCTTCCCCGTTCGCCTACATCCGTCACCGTGCCTCTGGGCACGGAATGGGCGTGTTCTCAAGTCCTTTCCCCAATTCCCTGAGCCTCAGTCGTCAGTCCCGAGGAGTCCCAAAGGGGCTGGGACTCCAAATTCTCATATCTTCTCGGGCTTGGGCATGCCCCCAGGGGTTCCCAGCGTCTTGTCGCATGAATTGGTCGGGCCCCTGAGGGCCCCAAGACAAGCCGAGAGGGCTTCAAGAGGCTCCCAAGACGGTCCAAGAGGGCCTCGATGCGCCCAAAGATCGCTGGAAGGCGCCAAAGATGGCCACAAGACGGCCGAAGAGGCCGCCAAGACGCCCCAAGAGGCCTCCAAGAGGCCTCCCATGAGGGCCCCAAGAGGCCAAGATCATTGATTCTCCTACAGTTTTCGAAGGATTTGGGCGTTCTCGCCTTTTCAGTTTCCCGACGCTCCCAGACGGCCCCAGAGACCCCCAAGACCGCCCTAAGACGGCCGAAGAGGCCTCCAAGAGGGCCCTGAAACCAGCCACGAGGGCTCCAAGACAGCCCAAGAGGCGCCCAAAGCGGCCCAAGAGGGCCACAAGACGGCTTCAAAACGGAGCCAAAAAAGGTAACACGAACCGAAAATCCGAGCCTTCCGCCCAAAGGGGCCCCCAGGAGGCCGAGAGAGGCGCCCGGTGGCCCCAAAAAGCCCCCACGAGGCTCCGAAAACCCCGCAAGCGGCCCAAAAGAAGCCCCAGGAGGCCCCACAACAGCGCCCCAGAGGCTTCCAAACTGCCTCGAGAGGCCTCGACGAGACCACAACCTAACATCCAAGAGGTCGCCGGGCTGGATGAGCCGAAGGCCATTGGATCCGCCGCCCCCAATTGGTTTGCCACAGGGGTGCCCGGCGTGCTCAATCATTTCGGTTTTGTTTTTGATTCTTTTCCATAAAAAACTCCCCCTGGGGCTTCGGCCCGCTCCGCCGGCCACCCGAAAGGTCCGAAATTCTCAAAATATGTCGCTCCAGCCCTTTGGGCGTGAGTGGTTTAGGGAGCTCTCTCTGTTCTCAACCCCCCTTCTTCCCCTTCGGGGAGGGGTTTACCCCTCCCCCTACCCCCTCCCCCTGGACCTGCAGAGGTCCTTTCGCGGGTGGTCAGAGGGGTCTTTTTCGACTCCTGGGAGGGCTAAAAAACGACACCCCTCACGAGGATTCTGGCCCCGACGGGGGGAGGGAGAAAAGTGCTCCCCTCTTCTTTGAAGCCAAAATCATTGATTTTACTACGGTTTTGGCCCCATTTTGGCCTTCTGAGGGGGCAGCGCTAATTAAAGCTCCCCTCTTCTTTCAAGCCAAAATCATTGATTTTACTAAGGTTTTGGCCCCATTTTGGCCTTCTGAGGGGGCAGCGCTAATTAAAGCTCCCCTCTTCTTTGATCGATTTCCTCCAAGATGGCCCCAAGAAGCGCCCAGGAGGCACCAAGAGGCCCCAAGATGGCCCCAAGAGGCCCCCAGGAGGCCCCCAAGAGGATCCCAAACGGCCCAAAGAGGCCCCCCCGAGGCACCCAAGACGCCGAAAAGCCCATCAGGACGACCCTCTACTCGCCTGGGCGTCGTTTCTGGACGGGCAGGAGGAGGGGCCCGAACGACTCACACCAGGACGAGGGGCCCGAACAACTCACACCACGAGAAGCCCGAACGACTCACACCAGGACGAAGAGCCCGAACGACTCACACCACGAAGAGCCCGAACGACTCACACCAGGAAGAAGGGCCCGAACGACTCACACCAGGACGAGAAGCCCGAACGACTCAAACCACGAGGAGCGCTTTCTCTCCCTCCTCCTCCGCCTCGTCCTTCTCCCGCTCCCACCACAAGGAGGATGTACAAGGAGGCGGGAGGAAGGAGGAACAGGGGAGATATGCGGGGGCAGGCGGAAACACGCCTGAAAAACACGACTGTCGGCATGCTTCGCTAGAGTTGCTGTTTTGAGATGGGCTGGTGGGGATACGCGAAGCGTGAAGAATTCTCCAAATATGTCGCTCAAGCTGGCCTAAGATGGTCTCCAAGATGGCCATGTTGGCCCAAGATGGCCTCCAAGATGGCCTCTCATACGGCACAAGAGAATCCAAGACGGCCGAAGACGGCCCAAGAGGCCCCCCAGAGGCCTCCAAGACGGCCCAAGAGGCCTCCAAGAGGTCCTCCAGGAGGGCCCGAGGCGGCCAAAATCATTGAATTTCCGAAGGTTTTTGAAGGATTTTCGCATTCGCTTCTTCTCGGCTTTCCGACGACCCAAGAGGCCCCCAAGATCGCCCCCACAGCGCCCAACATGCCTCCAAGATGGCCTCAGAACGGCCCAAGAAGCCCCCAAGACGGCCCCAAGAGGGCACAAAGACGACCCAAGAGGCCTCCAAGACGACCAAGGTGGCCCCTAAGACAGCCCTGGAGCACCCCAAGAGGGCTCCAAATCGGCCCAGAGAGGCCCCCCAAACGGCTTCCGACGGCGTCAGACGGGCCAGGAGCCCACCAAGATGGCCGAAGTTGGCTCGAAGCTGGCCCATGACGGCCCAAGAGGCCTCCAGGAGGGCCTCCAAGAAGGCCAGAAGAGGCCAAAAACTGATGTCCCCTTAGATTTCCGAAAGATTTTGACATTTGCTTCGTTTCGGCCTTCCGACGGCCCGATACGGCCAAAGAGCACCAAAAGATCGCCCAAGGATCGCCGAAGAGGCCTCCAAGATGGCCCCAGAACGGCCCAAGAGGCCCCCAAGACGGCCCCAAGAGGCCCCCAAGACGGCCCAGGAGGCTTTTAAGACGCCCAAGATGGCCTCCAAGACGGCCCTGGATCATTCCAAGAGGGCCCCAAATCGGCTCAGAGAGGCCCCCCAAACGGCTTCCGACGGCGTCGGACGGGACGGGGGGGCCCACCAAGACGGCCGAAGATGGCACTAAGATGGCCCAAGACGGCCCAGGAGGCCTGCAAGAGGGCCTCCAGGAAGGCCCGAAGATGCCAAAATCATCGATTTCCCATAAGTGTTTGAAGGATTGTGGCATTTGCTTTTTTTCTGCCTTCCGACGGCCCGAGACGGCCCAAGTGCCCCGAAAGATCGCCCAAGAGGCCCAACACGGCCCCAAGAGGCCCCCAAGGCGGCCGAAGAGGCCTCCAAGACGCTCAAGATGGCCCCCAAGACGGCCCAAGAGCCCTCCAAGACGTCCTCCAAGAAGGCCCGAAAGGGTCAAAATGGCCTCCAGGCGGTAAAGATCACCTTCAAGATGCCCACGTGTTCCCAAAACGCCACCCAAACGACCCCAAACTGTCTCCAAGAGGCCCCGGGAAGCCTCCCACGAGATCCAAACGAACATCCAATAGGCTTCATACCCACAGCCCAGGCACGGTGGCGGGATCGGTCTAATGCCACTAGAGCCGCCGCCGCCTGGCGCGCTAGACTTCTGACGATTTGGTTTTGGCTCGTGTCCCAGAAAGAACTCTCCCCTGGGGCTTCGACCCGTCCCGCCGGCCACCCGGAAGGCCTCGCAATCGCGAACAAAATTTCCAACAAATCCTCAAGACGGGCCAAGATGGCCTCCAGGGTGGCCACGTTGGCCCAAGATGGCATCCAAGATGGCCAAAGATGCCTCCAAGATGCCTCCAAGACGGCCCAAGAGGGCTCAAAATGACTCCAAGTCCGCCCAAGAAGCCTCCAAAACGGTCCAAGAGGGCCCAAGAAGCCCCCAAGAGGTCTCCAAGACGGCCCAAGAGGCCTTCAAGAGGTAGACGACGCCTACGGCGAATCACCGCCGCTCCCTGCCTTTTGAAATCGCCCATGTGGCCGAGCGATGTGGCAAAAGCTCTGCCAAGCTATCGGACCATGTGTTCCCCCAACCGTTGTGGAAACCCTTCGGGGAACACTTGGGGGAGTATGGCGGGGAAGACCAGGAGGAGGAGGAGAAGGAGGAGAAGGAGGAGAAGGAGAAGGAGGAGCAGGAGGAGGAGGGGGTGGAGGGGGCATCTTGGGAGCCTCTGGGGGCACTCTTGGGGCCTCCTGGGAGCTTCCTGGAGCCTCTTGGAGGCATCTTGGGGGCCTCCTTAGGCTTCGTCGGTGCCTTTTGGGGCTTCTCGGGGGCCTCTTTGGCCGTCTCAGGGCATTCCTGGTCTGTCTGACGCCGTCGGGAGCCGTCTGGGGGGCCTCTCTGGGTCGACTTGAAACCCTCTTTGGGTGCTCCAGGGCTGTCTTGGAAACCATCTTGGGCGTCGTGGAGGCCTCTTGGGTCGTTCTGGGGCCGCTGGGAGAGGAGGAGGGGGGACTTGACCTTCGCTTCGCGCTGGTCCTTCCAGAATTGGACCTGGGTTTGGATGACGCGGCGCCTCACCGCATGGGCTTGGAGGGGGTCTGTCTAGCAAAATTCCATTGCCGAGTTCATGCTCACCGATACTGGCGACCAGGAAGAGAAAGACCACATGCACTTGTCGGTTTTGAATTCAAATGACATGAGCGGGGGTCCAATTGCCGACTGGCAATCACGAAATTGGCCAGGGAAGCGCCACACATCAACAATTATGTGGCCATCTTGAAATCCAATGCGACGACGCAACCGACGCTTTGAGGGCATCGGTATTGCAAAGTCCTATCATAATATAACCTCGCTGTCTTTGCCGTGTCCCACGCTTTTCGTCATTCGTGTCGTCGTCCTTCCCCATCTGCTCCTGCTCATCGCCTTCCTCATCCCTCCTCCGCCTCCTCCTGCGCCTCCGCCGCGCCCTCCTCCACCTCCTATGCCTCTTCTTTGTCATCCTCCCCCCTCTCCGCGCCCTGACCAACCTTGCTGCCGGCCGAGCCCGAGACTTGCACCTTCGCCAGGGACTCCGAGGGCTCCCGCAGGGCCGGCAGCCTCGCCAACGGCGAGCGGCCACGCAACTCGTCCTCGGCCGCCGAGTCGAAGACCCGCATGAGCGGCACCGGGCGGGCGCTCTTCTTGCCGTCGGCGTCCGGGCCGTCCCCGCTGTTCTGGAACACCTCTCGTCGACGGGCGTGCGGCATCTGCGCACGGGTAGGGTACGAGCGTGTGGGCCTGTGCACGTGCTTTCATGTCTGCCACCGTGCCCCTGGCGCGCTGGGGCAGGTCCCAGTGCTCCTGGGCTATCTTGGAGGGCGTGTGTCGTTGAAGTTCCATCAGCCCCTCTGGGCGCAGATGGTTTGGAGCGCCACAGTTTCCCAAACCACTCTTGCCTCCTCTCTGGGGATTGTGTTCATCCCTGATTTTTCCCTCAGGGGGTTCGAGCATCCAAGCTGGTCACTGACGGCTCAATGTCCCTGATAGCCCTAGAATGCCCGCAAGATGGCGCAAGACGACCCAAGGTGGTAAAAGATGGGCTGCAGCGAGCCTTCAAGAGGCCCTCAGAGTGGCTCTGAGATGGCACCCCGTCCTCCCAAAACGGTGTTCGAAGCTTCTCGTGGCTTCCGGTGGGCCTCTGAAGCCTCCAGTTGCAAGGCGACACAGCGATGGTCAGAACAGGGGTCTCAGGGGGGGTTGGGAGAGCTCCAAGGACCTAGAAGGCACCCAGAAACACTTCAACAGAGCTCCATGAGGACCTACAGACTGTGGGAGGGGGCTAAAACGGTACCCCTCTTTCTGGTCGCTGGCCTTCAGCATGATCCCAACAGGGCCTGGACTGCCCCCGAAACTGCCCCACAAGAGCTCCGGTGGTGCACCAAAAGGAAACCAACACGGACCCCGTTGTGGCTCCAAGAAACCTAATGCCAAAAACACCCCGAGGATCCCAAACCAACAATCTGACAACTGCTTGGGAAGATACCTCATTTGATTTGCCTGGTGTCCGCCGCCTTTGTTTCACAAATCCTCCTCATCGGCAACCTTGTTTTCCCCAACACCTTTCTCGGCCTCAAGATCGGCCAACTGGCCCCGAAGTTGGGCCAACAGTGACCCCAAACGGTCGCAAGATCCTCCCATACGGCGCCACCAGAGAGCGCAACACAATTCTACCGTCTCCTGCGATTGCTAAGGTCTAGTGACCTTCTAATCCGCCACCGTGCCTTAAGCACGTAGTTGAGTGTCCCAAGGCCCATGCATTTCCGAGAGGTCATGCAATTCTGAAAGCTTTAGCTCTTGAGGCTGGAACACGAAATGCACGGGCGCTCGTGGGCGCGGCTGCGCGCTCTGGGTGTTCCGCGTAGGCCTCTGGGGCGGTGCCCCCATCCAGGGAGGCCCCCAAGCGGGCCAAGACAGCCCTCCAAGGTCCCACGGGGGTCCAAGAAACCTCCGAGACGACCCTAAGGCTTCCCAAGACGCCCAACATGGCCCCAAGACGGCTAAAGAAGCCTTCGGGACGCCCCAAAAGAGACCCAAGAGCCTTCGCAAGAAGGCCCCGAGAAGCCAAAATCATTGATCTCCCCTACATGTTTCAATGTTTCTGTGGTTCTCGACTTTTCGAGCTTCCGAAGCGCCAAAACGTCCCAAGAGGCCCCCAAGACCGCCCCAAGACGGCGTCAGAGACCGCAAACGGGCCACAAGACCGCCCAAGAAGGCTCCAAGACGGCCCAAGGGGCGCCGAAGACGACTTAAGAGGACCCCAAGATGGCCCCAAAATGGGGACCAAGAGGGAAACATGAACCGACAATCCGAGCCTTCCACCCCAATACAAGAGGCGCCCAGGAGGCCCCAAAAGGCCCCCAAGAGACCCGCAGAAACCCCCAAGAGGCACCCACGAGGCCCCGAAAACTCCGCAAGAAGTCCAAAAGAAGCCCCAAGAGGCCCCACAACAGCCCCCCAAAGGCATCAAAACTGCCTCCAGAAGGCCCCGAGAGGCCTCGACAAGACCCCAAACGAACATCCAAGAAGTCTCATACCCAAAGCCAGGCACGGTGGCGGGATGGGCTGAAGGCCACTGGATCCGCCGCCCCCTTTTGATTGATCAAAGGGGTGCCTGGCGTGCCGAACAACATGGGTGTTGGCTTTGGTTCTTTTTCCAAAAGAACTCCCCCTGGGGCTCGGCCCGTCCCGCCGGGGTCCCGGGAGATTGCCGAAAACCCGGTTGCAAAGGTTTTTCCTGCTACAGACGGCTCCAAGACGGCCCAAGATGGTCTCCAAGATGCTTCCGAGACGGCCAAGATGGCCTCCAAGACGGCCACGATGGCCCCAAGATGCCTCCAAGACGGCCCAAGATGTACCCTAGACGGCCTAAGATAGCCTGAAGATGGCCCAAGACGGCCCAAGAGGCCCCCCAGAGGCCTCCAAGACAGCCCAAGAGGCCTCCAAGAGGTCCTCCAGGAAGGCCCGAGGAGGCCAAAATCATTGATTGTCCTACGATTTCTGAAGGATTTTGGCATTTGCTTCTTCTCGGCATTCCGACGGCTCAAGACGGCCCCAGAGGCCCACAAGGTCGCCCAAGAGGCCCAAGCGGCCTCCAAGACGGCCCCAAGAGGGCCCCAAGACAGCCCACGAGGCCTCAACACGCCCAAGATGGCCTCCAAGACGCCCAAGATGGCCTCCAAGACGGCCCCGAAGCGCCCCAAGAGGGCCCCAAGTCGGCCCAGAAAGGCCCCCAAGACGGCTCCCGACGGCGTCAGACGTGCCAGGAACCCACCAAGATGGCCGAAGTTGGCTCGAAGCTGGCCCAGAACGGCCCAACAGGCCCCCAAGAGGGCCTCCAGGAAGGCCCGAACAAGGCCAAAAACATTTTCTCTAAACAATTCAACGGATTTTGACATTTCCTTCTTTCCGGCCTTCCGCCGGCCCGAGACGGCCCAAGAGCCCCAAAACACCGCCGAAAGATCGCCCAAGAGGCCTCCAAGATGGCCCCAGAACAGCCCAATAGGGCCCCAAGACGGCCCCAAGAGGCCCCCAAGACGGCCCAGGAGGCCTTTAAGACGCCCAAGATGGCCTCACGGCCCTGGAGCATTCCAAGAGGGCCCCAAGTCGGCCCATAGAGGCACCCTAAACGGCTTCCGACGCCGTCAGACGGACCAGGAGCCCACCAAAACGGCCGAACATAGCCCTAAGATGGCCCAAGACGGCCCAAGAGGCCTCCAAGAGGGCCTCCAGGAAGGCCCGAAAAAGCCAAAATCATTGATTTCAAATGGGCTTTTGAAGGGTTGTGGCGTTTGCTTTTTTCTGCCTTCTGACGGCCCGAGACGGCCCAAGTGCCCCCAAAGATCGCCCAAGAGGCCCAAGACATGGCCCCAAGAGGCCCCCAAGACGGCCCAAGAGGCCTCCAAGACGCTCAAGATGGCCTCCAAAACGGCCCAAGAGCCATCCAAGACGTCCTCCAAGAAGGCCAGAAAGGGTCAAAATGGCCTCCAGACGGCCAAGATGACCTTCAAGATGCCCACGTGTTCCCCGAAGGCTTTCCAAACCGATTCGGGGAACACATGGTCCGATGACTTGGCAGGTCTGGCCTCAACGTTCGGCCACATAGGCGTTTCCAAAAAGGCAGGGAGCGGCGGTGATTCGCCGTAGGCGTCTTCGATCCGCGTTTTGGTTCTTCTTCCAAAAGAACTCCCCCTTGGCCTTCGGCGCGTCCCGCCGGGGTCCCGGGAGGCTCTTCTGGAGGTGGTTGCCGTGGGTTTTCCTGCCCCAGACGCTCCAAGATGGCCAAAGATGGCCTCCAAGATGCTTCCAAGACGGCCAAGATGGCCTCCAAGACGGCCACGATGGCCCCAAGATGCCTCCAAGACGGCCCAAGATGCACCCAAGACGGCCTAAGATAGCCTGAAGATGGCCCAAGACGGCCCAAGAGGCACTGAAGAGGCCTCCAAGACGGCCCAAGAGGCCTCCAAGAGGTCCTCCAGGAAGGCCCGAGGAGGCCAAAATCATTGATTTCTTTAGATTTTTGAATGATTTTTCCCCACATCCAAAGTGGGGTTCTTGTTTTCTCTGCACACCCCGCGCAGGAACACTCACCCCACCCCCTCTCCTCTTCTGCCTTCGCACACTCACTCACTCACTCATCATCATCACCACTCACTCACACTCACATTCACTCACACTCTCTCATCATCAACATCAGCATCATCACTCGCGCTCTCTCACACGCTCAGTCACTCACATACTCATCATCATCATCATCATCATCATCATCATCATCATCATCATCATCATCATCATCATCATCATCATCACTCGCACTGTGTCACACGCTCACTCATTCACATACTCACCTGGAGGAAGTCTCACGCGGGAGCCTCGTCTGTGAGTGAAGTGTGAGGAAGTCTCAAGCGGGAGCCCCCTCCCTATGGGGCCCGCACTTCATGTTCGAATCCGAGCGGGTCATCCGCAACGTGCAACTGTCGTCACTTTTGGGCTCTTGAGACCTGAATATGGAGGAAGTCTCGAGCGGGAGCCTCGTCTGTGAGTGAATTGCGAGGAAGTCTCAGGCGGGAGCCCCCTCCCTATGGGGCCCGCACTTCATGTTCGAATCCGAGCGGGTCATCCGCAACGTGTAACTGTCGTCACTTTTGGGCTCTTGAGGCCTGAATATGGAGGAAGTATCAGGCGGGAGCCTCGTCTGTGAGTGAATTGTGAGGAAGTCTCAGGCGGGAGCCCCCTCCCTATGGGGCCCGCACTTCATGTTCGAATCCGAGCGGGTCATCCGCAACGTGCAACTGTCGTCACTTTTGGGCTCTTGAGACTTGAATATGGAGGAAGTCTCGAGCGGGAGCCTCGTCTGTGAGTGAATTGTGAGGAAGTCTCAGGCGGGAGCCCCCTCCCTATGGGGCCCGCGCTTCATGTTCGAATCCGAGCGGGTCATCCGCAACGTGTAACTGTCGTCACTCTTGGGCTCTTGAGGCCTGAATATGGAGGAAGTATCAGGCGGAAACCTCGTTTGTAACTGAATTGTGAGGAAGTCTCAAGCGGGAGCCCCCTCCCTATGGGGCCCGCATTGAATGTTCGAATCCGAGCGGCTTCCGCAACATGCAATTGTCGTCACTTTTGGGCCCTTGAGACTTGAATATGGAGGAAGTCTCGAGCGGGAGCCTCGTCTGTGAGTGGATTGTGA